CTACGGCGGCGGCCGTGACGAGCGCGAGGAGCGAGTGCCTCCGCCGGCGCGCGACCGCCAGGCAAGCCACGCCGACAGCCCGCCTCGCGACGCCGCCGAGGTCGAGCCTTCTCGCTTCTACTAGGCGCTTCGCCCATCGTCTGTCGCTCGTCGTCCAGCCTCGCAGGCGCCGACATCGCCGACACTGCCGCCGTCGACGCATTCCGTCGACCCACCCTCGCTCACCTTGCCGCCCAACCGTATGATTTTCTTTCCGGCCCATTTTCGCCCGCCGTCTTTTCTCGCAACGAGGAAGACCGTCCTGGACTGGACCCGACTCGTGTTCCCGACCTCGATGTGTTCCCAGCCCCTGTCGATCCGTTTCCCCATCAATACCTTCTCCACAAGCCCGATCCTGAGCCTAGCCGCAATTCGCGCGCATCCAAAAGAACCCCTCCAAACGCCTCAATCCGACGCCCGGACGTATTTTCAAGTCGCGCTCCGTCATGTTGTTCAAACTGTCCCGTGATCCTCGTCGTCGCCTCAACCCGTTTTCCCCTTTCTGTCGTCAATGATGTTATCAAAAAACCCTCCCCCAGCCTTCGTTGCCAAAGCTCGCACGATCAAAGTTCAAACACGTATACCAAGAGGAAGAAGGAGGAGGGCCACGCCTTTGCACTCCCTCGGCGTTGGAGAAGGAGGCGGTACGATGAGGTCAGGTCGCTCTCCGCAAGGTATGCCGCCGAAATCGAGAGGACAAGAGTGGATCGGTGTGAAGGAAGGTCGTTTGTCGTTCCTGAAAGCTCGGTACGGCTCGGTTCGCAACGAGAGGAACTCGTATGGATCAAGGAGACGGACGGACGAGCGGACGAGCGGGTTGGGCGTACGTGGCAAGGCGGACGTGAAGAACAAGCGTGTCGTGCCGGTTCCAGGCTCTGGCCTCTGGCCTCTGCGATCAGGTGAGCAGTGGCGATCTTCGTCCTCAAACGACAAGATCCAGAGCCGTGTCACGCCCGCGCAACGGCCCACGGCCTCCCACAGGGTGCGAGCCGAGCTCATCGACGCACAGTCGCGCCGCGTTGCACCATCGAGTGAGTTGCCCCGTTCCCCCTCCACCGCCTCATCATACCTTCCAAGAGGAAAGGTGAGTACGTCGTCGAGCAAAGATTCGGACCGTAGCGATGCCAAGCAATGTCACAATCTCTTCACCACATCCGACGATGTGGAACACCGACTGCTGTCAGTTGCGGCACGAATGAGGACACGAGGACTGTGTTGGAGGGGGAGGTGGGTATAGTACAACGATGGTACAGCGTGCCGGCGACGCTTCACTTTGTTCCGATATCTGTTCGAAGCCGCCAGCGGGACACGGGAGGACGAGCAGAGTAAGTCAGCTTTCAGTGCCGCACGACTCGACGCTCCGACCCTGCTGGACCAAGGACGGCGAGAGCGGGCAGGGTCACTACTCACATTCGTCTCTGAGCGCCTTTTTCTTGGCGGCCAGAATCATCTTTTCCGTCGCGGCGCGGTCGGGCACGCGGGGCATCTCGAGCTCCTGCGCGTCGAGGACAGAATAGTAGAGCGTCTTGAAGTTTTCGCTCTGCCGCGTCGCCTCCTCGGCCGCCGCCGCTGCCGCCGCCGCCCCGGCATCGTCCGGCTGTGCGGCGTCGGTCATCTCGGTATCCTCGCCCTCGTCGCCGTTGGCAGCGTCGACGGCCACGGCCGACCCGTCGGTAGCCTTTTGCCGTTTCCCGCCCGAAGTGGCGCTGAATGACGTGCCGCGCTTGGCAGGTTGCGTCTCTGTTGCCGTCGCTGCTGCTGCTGCTGCTGCTGCTGCTGACGCCGCCGCCGATGACGATGATGACGAGGAGGGCATCGCACCGTGCCGCTCGCGGATCTCCTTCAGACTCTTGGGCGTCGGTCGGGGGATGCCCGGGATCTCGGCATCGTCCGTGTCCATACCAAGGCTCTCGAGCACCCTGGCGTACCCTTCCTTCCACTCCTTTTCCTCCTCGGCCTGCTCAAATTCGAGCACGACGCCGTCGTCCTCGTCGAGGTCGCCGTAGTACTCTGGCGGGAGGTGGTTGAAGCGCTGGTACTTTCGCGAGCGGAACGACTCGGCCTCGGCCTCTTGCTGCGGCGTGCGCTCAAACAGCTCCTTGACGCCCGGCAGGTCCTTTGCGCGGCCAAAGTACTTGTAGCCGCGGGTGCCCGGCACCTCGCGCCCGCCGTCGTCGAGCATCTTTGGCACGCCCCGCTTGTAGTTTGCGCCGCCGAGGGCGATGATCTGGTTCTCCCAGTGGTTCTTCTCGCGCAGCAGCTTGTTGATCTCGTCGTTGAGGTCGCGCACCTCGAAGTCGGTCAATCCGACTGAAGGGAGGCGGCGGCGTACAAGGCGAGGTGCGGGGGTGGATCCGAGCGTCAGCATCGAGAACAAGGCCGTCGTGGCCACCGTCGCTCGCAGATCACGTCGAGGGGAGGGAGGGGCGTAGACTCACAGTCCTGGATCTTGCTGACCTTTCTCGAGATCTCGCGCAGGATGTCACCTCTCCACTTTTCGCATTCGCGCAGAGAGGACACGCTGGACGCGAGGCGGGGTCTGCGCTGCTGCTTGTTGGACGAGAGGCCGAGCTCTGCCGCCTGCGCCTCGCGGAAGCGGTAGAGCATCGACTGCGCCTTTTCCTGATTGCGCGCCATGGTGAGGGATGGCCGGTTTCTCGGTGTGGACGAGGAAGGTAGGGTCCGAACAAGGAGGCGCGATGGCGATGGTGGTGGTGGTGGTGGTGGTGGTGGTGGTGACGGGAAGCGGGCGGGGGGGCAATTGTTTGTGTGTTGGTGTGCTCGCGGGCAGCGCATGCAGGCACCGATCACCCGATGGAGAAATGTCGAGCAGTGGTTGGGCGGGGCTTCACTCCTTCTCTCCCTCTCCCTCGACCCATTCTTCTCAACCCGCCCAGCTCATCCGCCTCTTGTCGAATCACCTTCCTACGACGCGGAAGACGCCGTCATCATGTCGCAACCGCAACCAGCCCGCACGCCTCCCTTCACGCAGGCGCCGCTGCCACCCTACACCTTCAATCCGGACCTCACCGAAGATGAGAACTTCCTCACATGGAGCGTCATCCTCGCCCGTAGCTCCTTCTCCAAGCGCGGACACATGGGCGCCCTCGTCGTCGGACCACCCGCACCTCCTTCCGCTCTTGAGCTTTCCTCCTCCTCCTCTTCCTCATCGCCACCCGCATCTGAGCCCGTGTCGGCGGCATCGCGCGTACTCGTCTACGCCAACAACACGCCGCTCCTCTACACGACGGGCCACCCGCGCAACGTGGCCGAGATCCACGCCGAGGCGCTCTGCACCTCGCTCGCAGCCAAGCGCGGCATCTGCATCGACGGCGCCACCGCCTACGTCACCTACCCACCCTGCCTGGAGTGCTTCAAGTTGCTCCTCATGGCGGGCGTACGACGCATGGTCTACCGGAAAAACTACAACCTCGTCTGCACCGACTCGGTCCTGGTCACTGCCGAAGTCTGGGGCGTCGAGCTGGTGGGCACCATGTGCGGCTTCATCCAGGATCCCGCGAGACCCTGGCAGGAGGGGATTGAGGAGAAGGTCAAGTCCGAAATCGCCTCGATGCCCGAAGATGAGCAGGTGCGCCAGCTCGACCAACTGCTAGCGCTGCCCGTCGACGACCTCGGCGACTACGAAAAGGTCAAGATCACCCAGCTCTCGTGGCTGCAGGAACGTCGCACCGACCGCAAGAGGGAGGAGAGGGCCAGGGCCTTCTGGAACGACGTGACGGGCGAGACGGCCGTCGAGACGCGGCAAAAGTGCGCCGACTGGTGGGAGCGGTGGCAGAGCATCTACAAGCAAGCCGCCAGGAAGCTGCGGTCGCAGAACCGAGGCGGCTTCATGGAGAAGGACAAGAAGGCGCAGAAGAAGGAAAAGTCCAAGCAGGCCGCAGCGTCCGAAGCGGCGCGCGACGAGCACGACGGTACCGGGTCCACGCCCGGCGTTCCCGCAAAGAGGGCCGCCTCAGAGGCCCTCGACGACAACGACGATGCCGACATGCCAGACAGTCACCAGGGCTAGCCAGGTCCAGGGGCCGCCACGACTCTGCCCGCCTCCTCCGCTGCCATCCAAAAGAATCCTCGCATATCGCAATCTCCGTGTAACACTAGTCACCCTCGTCGCTCCTCGATCTCACAATTGATGATGTTCTTCATTTCATCGGAGCCATACCGAGAGGTTTGGCGCGCTGGTGACCACCGGCAAAGCGACGGATCGAACCAAGAAACGGCCTGGGATCTGGGCGCCTTGCGCGGCAGGCTTGTGCCATCGCCGCAGGGCCCGTACATGAGGTTTAGGGGATGATGCTAACTACGTGACGGGTGGAAAGAAACGAGATCGGAGAGGAGGGGTATATGGGAGCTGTCGCCAGGTCGAAAGCCGGAATGAAGGGCCGAGGTCGAGTCGGACGCCTTCATCGGCGACCGGGCGCCAGGCTCTTGCGCGTCGGCTTGAGCAGCTGCGAGCGCTTGGCGAGCTGGACGTCGTTCTCAAAGGCTACGACAATGGCCTGGTCCGAGCCGTAGGTGTGCTCGTCCTGGATAATGGGGCCGTCGTAGCGCTTGAGCACGTACGCCGACAGGTTGCCGCGCTTGACCTGCTCAAATGACCACGAGACGACGTAGTTGCCCGTCGACGTGACGATGCTCGTCTCGGTGCCGGAACCCGTGTTGAAGCGCGCCGGCGTAAACGAGACCTCGCTCGCCATGTAGGCGACGTGGCTCGGCTTGAGCGTGAGGCGCTTGGGGATCGGCTTCGAATCGGCGGGGAAGCTGCGCTCGAAGCCCGAGTGGCCCGCATAGCGGCCCGAGCCGATCATGGTGTCAATCAGAAGCAGGTAGGTCCTGCAGGTCAAGATGACGTATCGGCTGTCGGCCGTCGTGTCGATGCCGATGATGGGGTCTCCGAGCGAGGGCAGCGCCGTCTTAGCATTCTTGCCGATCTTGTCGTAGAGGCGGACGTCTCCCTTGTTGCTCGCCACGGCCAGTCGGCCCTTGGAGTCGGTGGCCGCGACGCTAAAGTCGTTCTTGGACGCGTACTGCTTGAACTGCGAGTCGACCAGCTTGTTGCCCGACAGCCTCGGGTCGATCCGGAAGATGCCGTTGTGGCTGTGGCCGATCATGGTCTTCTCGGCCGTCATCTGAGCGAACTTGTTGTCCGGCACCACGTTGTGGACGGCGACGTCGTCGTGCACCTTCCACTCCTCGACCACCTTGCCGTACTCGAGGTCGAGGTTGAACAGCGCGTGCTTGTTGCCCGGGTCCATCATGACCATGGCCGCGTCCTGGTTGTGGAGCATGATCTTGTTGGGGCGGAAGCCCTTGCCCTTTGGCGTGGCGATCTTGTTGATGGTCGTGTCGAACTCGAGGCGGTTGTCGTCGGTGTGCTTGAAGACGCCGATCTTGTCGCCTCGCACGACGAAGGAGCGGTCAAACTTGTATCCGACAGCGAGCTGCGAGTTGACGTCCTTGTCCGCCTTGGACAGCGCGCTGCTCTCCTCCTTGGGCCATCCGCGTTCCTCGGTGCTCTCGCCGCCGCGCAGCGCCCGCGCCACTTCCTCCTCGTCCTCCTCATCGTCGTCCTGGTCCTGTTCGCGTTCGCGCTGCTCCTGGCTGCCGCCGGCGGCGCTGGCAAAGTCGTCCTGCTCGTCGCCTTCGTCCTCGTCAACCTCCATCGGATCCTCGTCCTGCTCGTACGCCACCTGCATGTAGGCCTGCTCGTCGGGCTTGGCCTTGGACCAGCTCTCCTCGTGCAGCGTCTCCCAAAGGTAGCGGGTGAAGCCCTGGATGAAGTCGTCGTAGGCGGCCTTGTCGGCGAAGCGCAGGAGCCACGAGTAGCACCGCCGCTCCTCGTCAAAGTAGTTCCACACCGCTGAGAGGTTCTCGGGCGAGAACTGCATGTTCAGGCCCGTGTCGACCTTTTGGCTGAGCCAGCGCCGCGTGGCGCCGCGGACCGAGAGCCAGTAGAGGAATCGACCGGCCTCGACGACCGAGGCCTTGGCGTCCTTTTCCTGGATCATGAAGAGGCCGCTGGCCTGGTCGTAGAGGTAAAGGTCGGCCACCGAGGTCAAGAGCTTGTTCGCCTCGACGTCGTCGTCGTCCTGCTCGTCGTCATCGTCCTCCGTGGGCGCGTCCTGCTTCGAGGCAACGGTGCCGGACGAGACCTTGAGGCCCTGAAGCTGCTTCTCGAGGGATTTGTCGTCGGCGTCGGCATCTGTGCTGCCCTTCTCGCCGCCGCCGTAGCTGAGTGCCTGGAGCTCCTCGTCGCTGGCCTCCTCGTGGCTCCGTCCACTCTTTCGCTCGTAGGCGCAGTTGATGTAGGTGATGGTGAACAGGTCAGCGGTCGCCGCATTGACAAGCCGCGAGTCGGCGACAAATTCGAAGAGATCGTCGACGTCGCCGGTAAGGTCCTTCCATGCGAAGGTCTGCTCGCCGCCGCTGCCCCGCGACTGGCGGAACTCGAGCTTCTGGTCGATGAGGAAGGCGCGTTCGTCGTCGCTCTCGTCTTCCTCCTCGAGAAGCTGCTCCTCGCCCTCCTCGTAGGCGCGAGTGACGACCAGCTGATAGTTGTGCACAGTAGCCGTCCTCCTGATGGTCATGACGGCGTCCTTGTAGCTGTGGGGGTTTGGTCAGGTGGAGGTAGGTTTGGAGTGAGACTCTGTGGTGAGTCCGTGTGGTGGCATGCACGTGGCGACAGAACAGCGCGCTGCTACTCACATGCATTCGCGAGAGCTCTTGACGTTGCCTGGGCGCACGAGGTACAGGGCTCCGGCGGGGATCTGGACGAGTTCGCGGTTGTTTTGGTCATCTGCGGACGCGGTCACGGATCAAAATGGGAACAGAGAGGTCAGGAATGCGAGCGGGGAAGATCGCCCGTGCTGGTAGGCCAGGACACTTACTCATCACCCTTCCAAACACTGGCGAGGAGGGAGGCGGGGTGGACAGAACGGGGGGACCGTCAGTATGAATTGCCTTTGTACGGAGGGACACAGGTATGACGTTCTTGGATGGCCGCGAGGGACCGACTCACGATTCTTGAGCATGAACATGGCGCCGATGGAGGAGCGAGGCAGCGGCTGGCTGCGCTCGAATGACGTCGAGGGTGATGGGGAAGCGCCTGCACGCAGGCCGAGAGATGGGCGGCTCGACGGGTGCGAGGGGATCTCGCAATGCGATGAGCAATCGCAGAGGGTGGCTAAGAAGAGGAGGAGGAATCGAGGCTAATGGCGGTGGGTGGTGGTGGTGCGGATGGAAGGTGGCGGCGGTCCGCTTGGTCCTTCTTTGGACCTGAGCCCCAGCCCATCTCCCAGCTTTTTTTGGATCCCCCCCCAACAGCCGCCGGCGCCAGCGTGTGGCCGCTGCGCTGTTGGTTTCCACGCGCGCCTGTGCGCAGCACATGTGGAGCTCGAACAGAGTGACGCAGGCGGGGGGGCGCGCCAGTATCCTGTCGTGCGAGAGGAGGGTGCCCTGCCTCACGTGGATTCCAGCGCTCGCCGCCGCCCCACCGACGACGACGCAGGTCAAGGACCGGTGGCAGGCCAGCAGGGACGACCAGGGCGAAAAAGGAAGAAAATCCTCAGCACAGCCAGGCAACCAGGCGGTGGGCGAGTGCAGAGGCAGGCTAGGCAGGGCGAAAAAGAACCACCAGGCGCCCAGCCAGCCAGCCAGCCAGCCAGCCACCCGGCCAGGCCAGGCCAGCGCCATCAGCCAGACGCTGCCGCCGCCATCACCGGCGAGCCAGCATCATCCCGGCCTTCACTTCCGTCACGCACACACATACACCCCCTCTTAGATTGCTGCCAGCCGACACTCAACAGAAGGCAGCATCGCTACACATCCACGTTCCCTCCCCCGCTCCCCTCTCCCACTCATAACCGGCAACATGGCCAGCTTCCAACTGCCGACGCTCCAGAAGGACAACGACCTCTGGGGCCCCTCGGCCGAGTCGTCTGCCCTCCCCGCACAGCTCGAGGACATTCCTTTCGCTCCCTACGCCAAGGTTCGTGCCATTGGCCGAAAAGCGCCCGGATCGCAGCCCGAGATGTTGTTACTGATCCGCACCCTCTGCCTCGAACCGGTCGACCCATCTGCTGCTCCTCACCTCCCCCTCTCGCAGGGCGACAAGATCGGCAGGATCGCCGACTGGAACGCTGCTTCGGGTGCCAACGCCGACGGCGGTGCCCAGGGCGCCCGAGGCGGCAGGCAGGGACGCAACCGCGACGTCCAGCAGAGCTTCGGCGCCACTGGCGCCAACGCCTTTGCCTACTTCCACGGCGACGACGAGGCCAGCTTCAGCGTCGTGGACAACACGCGCACCGTGGCATCCCGGCGCGGCGGCCTCAGCGCCATG